CCGCAGTGCAGCTGTGCCTTGTCCCCTCCCTGTGGGCACGTGCTCCTCCTCACATCTCACACACCACTGGGAAGGAGCTGTTTCTGGGAAGAGCTTTTCCCTGGGAGGGTTGTTTCTCAGAAGCAAGTCCCTCCTGCACATTACTGACTTACAGAGCTCTTGATGGCAATTTAAGAGGTTGTCAAGCTCAGTTTCCCACCTGTGCCATCCACCAGAAGATGATGTTCCACACCAGGGACAACTGAATAGGACGTATGTCCCACCTGGACCATTGTGACTGATAGTGGAGTATTTTACCACCATCCTGCCCTCGTCGGCATCACTGGGTGTCAGTGGCTCAATTTCACAAGTTGTTCAAGCATATCTAAGTCTGAGCTGCTCCCAAAAAAGCCAGTTCTGCAAATCCAGTGGAGATAAACCACATGTCCTTCAGCTGATTTCCTTTTGGCCAGGACAGGTGCCCAACACCAGCCATGGCACAGCCACACGAGCACACAGGAGGAGGCCACATGGAGGGGGACATGCTGGTAATATGAAGAGAAACAGGCTCAGTGTAAAACCACATGCAAGATTTAAGTGAAAACAGTAGAGAAGTATAAAAAAATAGGGATCAAAAGCCAGCGTGCAAAGTACTGACCACATCTGGATTTCTGTCTTTCTTCAAAGAAGAGAGTGGTGAGGGTTTTTTGGTCAGACACAGAGAAAGACCCACTGAAATGACTGAAATGCTGGTTTTCTGTTATTCAGCCTCTTCAGTTCTAGGAGCTGATGATTGCAAATGGGAGAGTGGCCCATCTGGAGAGGTTAAGTGCTGCTAATTCCTTGTTTATTGATTCCAGTAAATTGGGATTAGGACAGGCCAGAGGTTTGAGGTGGCCTTGTGCTGTTTACGTGGCATGTCAGGAATGCAGCAGCTCTACTGTGATTTTGCCTGTTTTCTGGTGGGGAAGGCAGGCAGCTGCAGAGAGGGAGCACTGTGCTGAGACCAGCTCAGTTATCCCATGGCTGCATCTGGTCCCAAATGCCTGGCTTCTCCTGCAGGGCTGGAGGAATTCCTGTCCCCTGAACCCAAGGGGTGAGTGGGCTCTTGGAAAATCCTAGCCATGGGACCTTGACATGCCCTGGAACAATCACATGTTGGCATAGGAGAAGAAGATGTTCCCTTCCTTCCTCCTTCCTTTCCTTCCTTTCCTTCCTTTCCTTCCTTTCTCATCCTTCCCCTCTCTCCCATAAACAATATACCCATTTACCTCTTTCCTTTCTCCCTGGGATAGTGTGTATTTGAATGGAATTTCAGTTGCTATTAATTTCCCTACCTTATGTCCAGACTAAACCCACACTTATTGTCTTGTCTTGGGCACCTCTGAGTTTCTGAGTCCCAGAAGTTTCCTGTGCAATTCCTTTTCCCAGGGACACTTCCCAGCTTGTGCAAATGGTATCAGGTGGATGGGTTACCTTCTTCCCCCCTCCAGTGCTGTGTCTGCCTGTCTCCTCCCATCCATGAGTGCTCTGCTTCTGCTTCTCTGCCGCATTTTTTTTCTACTTATCTGCCACATCTTATTACAATATATAAGACTTCTTACATTCATGTTTATCAGCTCTGAAAATGGCAAGACTTCGTTATTTCCTTTTAAGACACTTATCCTCCCCCTATTTTGATAATGCTCATGTATCTTTCCCCACTCAGGCATGCTTTCCAGAGGTGCCACTGGAAAGAAATATGTTTTCCATGGAAAGCATACCAGGGCGTGTGGACGTTGCCCCATACAGAGATGAGAGCTTGTCTTCCCTCCTGCAGTTCAAAGTCTGAAAGAGCAACAGTCAGTGCTCTCCTGCTGGTCATCTGCCTTGCCTGCTGCTCTCTGCCGGTGTGGTGTCCCTCATGTCCCCCCACTCCGACCTGCTGGATTTTCCAACTGCTTCTTGCCAGTTTTCCAGAGGAGAGGAGTCTGAAAAGATGTACTGCTGGTGCTTGAGATGCAAGGGGAGCTCTAGCAGTGTGGCGATGCCCTTCAGGGATTAAAGAAGGAAGAATTCTTTGGAGAGGGAATTAAGGAAGCACCAGTGGAACTCGAGGGAGGTTTCTCTGTCTGGTAACGCTCACAGCAAGAAAAGTTACCCAAAATACAATCATTCAAAGCTGTAGTGCACTTATAAAGTGAGGATTGCCTCTCACCTCTGAGCTGTGCATGTTCAGGCTCTGCCAGTCTCGCTACACTGACCGATTTCTGCCTTTCCAACTTCACTGCCAAAGTCAGAGATCAGCACACTCCCCAAGTGCTTGTCAGTAGAACAAGGCAAATCTGTTGCAATAAAGCCTGAATGCACCAAAATGTTTTTCCTTGACAATGTCATGTTTGCCATGTGGTATCTGCCATGCTCTTTCTTTCATCATTCCTGCCCTGGCACTCTAGAGTCTAAAAATATCACCTTCTCAGCTGCCAAAGCAGTTAAATCTCTGTGCGTGTTTCTTCTGTTTCCTTTATTCATCTTTTTCTGTTTTTCTTCTGGATTATCTCTCTCTCTCTTGTGTTGGTTTTGTATTCCTTTTATCTAAGTTCAAACATCTTGAAAATCCCAGCATAGGACACGCTTTTAGCAGTTTCTTTTTTTTTTTTTTTTTTTTAAACTTATGTTGCTCTGTTCCCTTGGATGACAAAGCAGCACAGACAGGAGCCAGCTCCAGGACTGCCTGCCTGTGCCATGATTCAGCAGGTTGTAAAAGGAAGGAATGTCTTCTCTTTTGGGAAAGGGTGGGAGAGAAAGGGAAGCATGCATGACAGGCATGTGTATATATTTGACTTCCTGTTGCTTCTGTGATTGCAGTGGGAATATTACACTGTCCTGCAGTTGTGTTGCAGTTAGTAAAGTGTTTCAAGAGAGGGTCTTGAAAGATATTTGGTGGAAAAATGGGTTTAGACTAGATTGAGGAGGGAGCTTGCTAAAATATATTGCTTTGTTACTCTTTGAAGTATTCCTCTGTGGTGTTTTTAGGTTCTTATTTAAAGCACTTGGTATCTCCTGTGCTGCTATTTTTGTGGCTATTGCTATTCTGCTGTAGTCCATGGCTATTTCCCTGCCTGTCTGTCTGCACCTTCTCTTCAGCCTCTGGGTGCAGCTCAACATGGAAGGTTTAGGAGCCAGCGTGGTGGCTTTGTGAAAAAATGTGTTTGCTTCCAAACTTCGGTGCAAGCAGGGATTTGCTGATTTCATTTCTGCTGAGCCTTATTTCTGAACGCCGGGGCCCCGCTTACGTCGTCCGAACGCGGTGGAATTTTCTCTGTGGGGAGACTTACGCTGCTGACTCATTGCATCAGCTCAAAACAGATTTATGTTTACAAAGGGGAAAAACACCACCCTTTTCTTCCTTACTTTTTCCTGCCCTTCCTAGCAATGTTGGATTTGGTATTCCTACAGAATGCCTATCTCCTGAACTTGCTGCAGCCCGCAGCCCACACGGGTCTTTGCTTTGAGCTGGGTGGTTCGGGCACAGCTTTCTGCTGAAATGTTCTCAGCTGGAGCAGCTCAGAGACGAGTTTAAAGAGTTGTTACTGAGAGGGTACCAGGAGCCTGTTCTCTTACAGAGAATGGGTCCACATTCTCTGCCCTCCCACATGGTGGGACACAGGGACTCCTCGAGTTTAATCTTGCTGTGACAGTGGTTTGATCCCATCAAACCCAACACCTCCTTCGGCCTCTCTGTCCCACTTGGCATGGCAGGGCCAGTTATTCCTTCATTCCCCTGCATTTCTGTACCAGTTCCATGTACAAACGGTGAGCCTTTGGTGGGTATTTCACCTCTACAGAAACACATTTTGGAAATCCACCACTGCTTAAAGCTTCTGGCCTGCTGAGCAGCGCTGCTGTGTTCCAAACCCATCGGAGAGTGCGTTCTCCATTTTATTGAAGCCTCATCTTGTAATTGAGCAAAAAAAAAAAAAAGACCGGGCACACTGAATTTCCTGAAGGGGCAGGAAAACCCAAACCCCTTTTTAAAGAACTGAAGAACGAGAAGACATAAAGGCGGCTTTGCAGTTCGACAGGAGGGTGTTGTGTGAGGCGGGTGAGGGCCCTGAGGGGTGGGGGGGGGTGAGGAGGTGCTGGCCCCGCCCCCGACCGCCCCTTACCGCCCCCTACCGCCCGCCCCGCCCCGCCCGCCACCGCAGCGATCCCGGGCGCAGACCCGCTGGGGCCCCGCCCACCCCCGAACGACATCCCGGCAGCCGCCCAATCGCGCAGCACTTCCTGCACCCCCACCGGCCAATAGCGGCGCTCCACGAAGGGCAGCGCCGTTGGGGGCGTGTTTGTGGGCGGTCCGGCTGCTGAGCGGCGTCGCCGCCGTCCAATCAGAGCGCGAGACGTGCTGCCGGGAGGGCGGGCTCTCGCGCCGTCCTCCAATGGGAGGGGCGGAGCGCGGTGGGGCGGGGGCGGGGCTGGCGCGCGGCGGAGAGGCGGACGGCGGGCGCGCGGGCACGTGACGGAGGCGAGGGGAGCCCGGGGGCGGCGGCGGCGGCCGGGGCGGCGCGGGGTGAGTGTGTCCGTCCGTCTGTCTGTCCGTCCGTGCCCCCGCCGCCTCCGCGGCTCCGGCACAGCGGGGCGGGGCAGCGGCGAACGGCCCCGCCAGCGGGGTGAGGGCGGCGGGGCAGCCGGGCCTGTCGGGGGGCGTGCGGCGGGGCGCGGCTGGGCCCCGGGGCGGGGGGTCGGCCCGTGCGGGGCCCGGCTTCGTGCGGGGGTCGGCGGGGACCCCTGGGGTCGGGGCGAGGCTCCTGCGGGCGGGGGCGGGCGCGGGGCTGCGGCGGGTCCTGCTCGGCACCCGCAGGGCTCGGGGTGGCCCGGGGGGAGCGGCGGCTCTTCTGGTAAGTTCTGTGAGCGCCGGGCTGGGCAGCGGTTGGAGCCGGGGGCGCTGGGGCCGGGAGCGGCCTGGGCCGAGGGTGGGGGGATGGATGTGGGCTGGATGTGGTCTGGGTTGGGTCTGGCTGCATATTCTGGTGTCAGAAATAGCCGCGAGCCGCCCGAACGTGCTCCCCGTGAAGCCCCGCAGAGGGGGGAGAGGAGGAGGGTGCGGAGCGTGTCGTGGGGCCTGGCTCGGGCTGAGCCAGGGGAAGGAGAAGCCTCTGGAAAGGGGGAGCTCGGGGCGCAGAGCTGGAGGCCAACAGGTGAGGTGCTGTCTGCAGGTCTGAGAATTGAGAATCCGAGGGGCTTAAAACATGCACTTTAATTTTAGCCACCCAAATGCTGTTCACGTTGGGAGTCTTCAAAATAGTCTATAAATGACACCTCAGTTCTCATTTCTGGCTGAAGATTGTGTTGTGCGCTTTTAAAACAGAAAAACCCCACACCTTTGAATTAAAGCATGCACAGCCCACTGCTTTCTTGCCTGTTCTGATTCTGAAGAGTGAACTCTCACATGCAGATTTGTGGTTAAGAACTTTCTAGGCTGCAGAAAGAGAAATGCTGCAGGTGATTTGGTTGTGAGGGGAAGCAGACATGTACTAATGGTAGTAGTAATATTAAAGATCCAGACTTTAATATGATGAGTGTTAACAGAATTAATACTGCAGCGTTTCTGCAGAGCATTGTGGAAAACTCCTTCTGGGACTTAAGTAGAGTATGTTAGATGTATGAAAACTGGTCTCTAGGCATGTAATGTATTTCTAAATGCAGTGTGTTTACTTAACGTTGTCAAGCAAGCATAGTTAACACACAGGTTTTATGGAACAAAATTACCCATTGTGGTTTTGGTTGTTGCTAAAATACTGCAGGGAGATAGCGGAACTATAATAATGTATGAGGTAATGCAGATAAAATACTGGTTAAATATAGGTTGAAATGTGTTACTCTAGTTTCACGCTGATGCACTTGACTTAAAAGACCACCTTACTGTTGATTTGGCCACATTAGGTGGGCTATTCCAAAACGCTTAATAAAACTAGGAAAAGCTTTGAATAAAACTCTGTGTTTGTATTAAGTCTTAGTATTTCTAGTTTTTTAAAAATAACATTTCGAAGAAGCTATTTGTACAATTCCCAGGCAACATCAGGAGCTGTTTGTAAGGTGTAAACTTGTTTCTTGAGATGAACTGCCCTCCTAGGAAAGGAATCTAATGTGAAACAGTAACAAAGTTTCCAACTTCCATCAGGTTACTGTGGCATTTGGTGTGCTGCAGCACTTCCACCCCTAGTAAATGAATAAATCCTTTACTAAGAATTCGCTGTGATTTGTACTTAGCCCTACCCTTTACTTCCTTTTCTGGCCTTTCAGTTTCTGCCTCTGGTAGTAATGATGGTGGCAGCCTGTTCTCGCTGGAATCAATTCTGTAGCAGGGCAAACTTGAATTGATTTCTAGGCTTGACGGTCTGAAAGATCTTGGGGTACCTCCAGATCTTCCCCCACCTAATATAATTTTCCGAGCAGCCCATCTGTTTTATGGTCAAAAAGCCTCACGGCTGTGTCTTCACCCTCCAAGGACTTCCAGTTCTGCTGGAAGGATATCTCTGCTGACAAACAGTGTCTGCTGTTTGCTCCTGTGCTGTACCCGCACTGTTGTACATTATTTTTAGAACCTGGCATATTTGAAATGCCTATTAAAAGCAAGCCTTGTTGTTGTCCCCTTTCCCACCTAATCCCTTGCCTGGTTTGTGCTCCTTACAACCCAAACAAGAGGCAGCTTTTTCTGTGGGGCTCTCCAAGAGAGGTTTGGCTAATCCTTTGCAGGAGACTTTTTTCCTCATGTAGCAGTGTATCCTTAAAAAAAAAAAAAAAGTGGGGGAAAGGGGGGCAAACCACCCCCACAGAGAGCTCCTGCCTCTGGGCCCTGGTAAGCAAGATGGTTTTCTTCAGCCTTGTCAGCTGTTCATTGAGTTATAATGTTAAAGGCAGAATCTTCACAGTGCTGGAAATTGTCTGGGCTGCAAAACTGAATATATAAGGAAAAAAAGTGTTGTCTGCATAATATGAATTTCTGCATATATATGAACATAATTTTGTTATACCCCCCTTAGAGGGGTGGTAAGGTGCTACACTGGGAGTTGATAGTACAGTGTTTGACCTCTCAGTTGTTCAGCTTTGCTGTATGTCCATCCCCCAAGTGTGCCCAAAGATAGGTCAGGCAGGTGCAGGTGACGAGACCTGTGCTTGAAACTGTGACATTAAGCTGACTCTGCTGCCAACAGCTTTGTTTCCTTTATCCTTGGCTACTTCATCTCATGGTCCTTCCACTTGTACTGCTACAGCTCTTTTCTTTTGCTAGGTTGGCCTGAGGTATTGATTCAGGGTTAAAATAACAGGGCAGAAGGACTTCGAGCCATCTTAAACCAGCTGCTGGTTCATCATGAGGCTGTGTAAACAGTTACCCTGGCACTGCAGAGGAGGCAGGATGTGGAGGGCAGAGAGATTGTGAGCTGTACAAGAGATTTCCTCTGCTCTTCAGTAGTTCTGACTTTAAGAAACTAGTGCACTACCAAGTAGGGTAACCAAGCCTTTACTCAGAAACCACAAGAAACTCGTTTGAGAGGGAAAAAGGATATCTGTGTCTCAGCCTTTCTGTTCTTGTCTCTTTGCATTTTTTTTTTTTTCTGTGTGTTGTGATGGAATTTCTTTACTTTTGTGTCTGTACATTTTTCTTCCCTAATTCTTACCTTGTGTGAGGATGCATTGTGCTTGTTTTTACTGGTGTGCCTTTGCTGTAAATACCACACTGGAATCCAGTGTTTGGAACACAAGACTTTGCTAGCAGAATTTGCTCTTCCTGTGCTTAAGTCATTCAGCTGAGACTTCAGATGCTGCTGAAATAGAAACCACTGATGCTCATCCAGTTAAATTGCCGAGGTGTAGTTCGTAGTAAGTGACTTATTTTTAGTAAGGCCCATTTAATGGGACTGTTAATTCTTTTAAAAAATGAATAAGTACTAAACTACATAGCCAGTAGCCATTCAAATGTAGTTATACATTCTGAAATATGCTGTGTTAAGAACTGGCTTGATGAACCACTGAAATAGATTAGTAACCAAGGAGATGATTAAACTGGTTTTGCAGGCTCTGTTTGACCTGTCAGGGAAGTTACTACATAGTATGTTCTGGAAGTATGATAGGAGAGGACTTGAACATCTTTTTTTTGAGCCCTTTCACTCTGTTCCTCCACAGGACATGTGTATGTTAGAGAGAATGCTGACAACTGTTTGCTGTATGAGCCAAGCGTTTCCAGTGTCATGCCAATAACTGAGAAGAACTTTTCCCTTTATGCCCAGAGAAAAGGGCAATTCTAAATAAAAATTAGTCTCTGAAACTGCATGACTTTCTTGAAAGCTTCGAACTCCAAAGGTAGCAATCCCGTAGCCACGTGTTGAGAGTGCCACTTTTGGGGCAAGAGGCTGATTCTCTCTCTGAATCCCCAATTTGGTTTTGTTTTGACTTTGGAAAAAGTGAAGTCTGTAGTGCAGCTGTTCCAGGTGTCTCTGCTCAGTGCCCTGCTATAGGTCCTGTAAATTCCAGGGGGAAAATACCTCAACCCTTTGACAGTCAGGTGAACAGTGCTTAACTATCAGCTCGTAGGTCTTCTGGTGTAGAAACTGGCTGTGGGTGGGCCCAGAGGGAAAACAAGTGACCTGTAGCCCTGGCAGTGTTGAACTCTCTTCCTAGTTTGTACTTTGGGATTAGCCTGCAGTAGTTTTTCCCTGTGGTCTCAGCGGTGTGCCAATGTCTGTAAGTGTCTGAAGACCGTATTTAAAAAAAAAGTAGATGGAGTTTTAGTCATCTCTGGCTTGAAACGTTGTTATGGTGAAAGGGAGGGTTGCACTGAAGTAGAATGGAGACGTCAGAAGCTCTCACCTATTATGAAAGTGTTCCTTTGTTAATGGCTCTCAGCAATTGCATGATCAGAAGTACACCAACCTTCAGAAATACTGCACAGTTACAGCTGAAGAAGGGAAGTGCAGGCAGACTGAAAAAATGGTTAACAATGGTAATTGCTTGGAAATTGGACACTTCTTCAAGGGAGAAGTCTGATCATAATAGAGTAGGTGGCTGGGTGTCTGAAGGTTCAGACTACATTTTAGGTGACTAATTGAACACCTGTAGTTGCCAGCAACTTAAAGCTCCGCTAATATTTGATTAATGCCTGTTTTGAATAAAACCTGAATTTCTTCTCTCTCCTGCTCCCCTCCTCTCCTATTTAGCAATAACCTAATTTACTAGGGCATAATTGTGTTTATGTTGCGTCCCTAAGGATTTTGTGAAGTGAATTTGAAATTTTCTCCTGTAGCAGTACATCCATTATGGGTAGAAGTAGCTTTTTAAATATCGAAAATGTGTGCTTCTCTTAGATTGCTCTTCTGAGAACACAGTGTCTTTTATTTCTTTATAATTCAGTCAGTTTGTATATTGTTACAGGTTAAACAGAATAAGGAGCTTGGCATGGTAACTGGCAGTTGCAGAAGAAGCTGCCAGCCTGTATTCAAGGTGTATAAATGGTAGCTTATGTCGAATTTGGGACTGATTTAATGTGTAGGAAGTGTCCTAAACAGCTTTCTGTAGGAATATAAACCTGTGACTACTGCTTGCCAATGATTATAAAGAAGTAAGGACATAGAACTGGATTTAGCTTGTCTTCAGGCTTTTTTAGCTTTTTTTTTTTTTTTTTTTTTTTTTGGTGGGATGAGAAAGAGCTAAGCTTGCTTGGGAACTTGATCAGACAATACTTCTCCCTTGAAGTGAGGGTCAGTGAGGCCTCAAATTTGGGCAGAACATTACCTGATAAATGTAGATACCTGTGGTTGTACCAGGAGTACAGGTGTGCAGTGCCAAAGCTTCTACCTCTGCTGTGTGGTCACTGGCAGAACTGTCTGGTTCCACTAGAATGCTTTGACAAGAATTTCTGGAGCAGCCTTGCAGTATGAGACCATGTGGCTTTGCCACTTGGGTGCAATCATTTGTCAGCAGCAAATGGACTTTGGTAAATATTTCCAAAGGGTTGTAGTTGGGGGGCGGAGGGGGGGGGGATTGGGAAGTAGGTAATTATTAAATATGGAGACAGTACTGGCAAGAAAGTTGTGGGGGATGATTTAATTCTTTCGCCAAAACTTTATTGCTGGTTGGCCAGTGGTGAGATTGCTTAAGGGATTACTTGCATGCTAAACCATTAATACCCTTTGCACAAGGTTGGGAGGAGGGGAGCAGAAACTCCTCCCTTTTAGAAGGAGAGGAGAGAATTGGCTCACTTTTAAGAGTAACTTCCTCGTATCACTTTCCAAATCATAAAGTGCTCATTCTCTCTGTATAATATAATCTGAAAGCAGTTATAAAACTTGGGATATAATCTTCCTGAATTTAGCTCCATTACAAAAGTACTTGGTGAGGACCTATCGGTAAGACAAAGTGAAACCTCTTCTTTGGGAGGCTGTCCTTGTGCCATCTCATCTGTTCTTGCTTCAGTCACACAGGACACACCCAAAGATCTAAAGATCACTTTTTCAGATGAAATTTCAACCTCATGTTTTCTATACTGGTTTTGTGCTTGTGGGCATAAGTTTATTCAGAGAACATCTTATCTGTACAAGAAGAACTTGAACTTTTGAGAGTACCAATGGTCTCTTGGCTGTTTTCATGCCTTGGTTTTGTGTTGTGATTTCCACAAATAATAAACTAGTAATAAGAGCCACGAACTGCTAAGGGATCTGAAACTGTGTTCAGTTTTGCCTGTGCATTAAAAAAACAAGCTCTGCTTGTGTATTACAGCCCTTGAAAGTTTTTGTCAGCTACTCCTTCTGCAATGATTGTCCTTTTGGCTCAGAGGTGTCTGGGTGCAGTTGCCTGAGCTGAGGGGGGAGGTCTGTGCACATGCATTTGGACAATAATCCTCAAGGCCATGGCTATTGTTGGAAAACTGGCTGCAGTTGTGTGTTGCTGTAGTGACAAACTGGATGTGACCTCAGCACAGGTCTTTAAAATACAGTTTTTGTTGTACTTATGAAACATCCCCTCTGTCATTGGAAGTAAGTTAAAGAATAATCTAAGAATGGTAGATCTGGTATGCAGCGTGATTTTGGAGTATTGGGTAGTGCTGATAAGCCTTTAAGTCTGGAAATTCTTTTAGTTGCCTAAACACGCTTCGGAAAGTTGAAAGTTTGTTTTCTGGCATGATCTTAGGCCCCTACAGGCACTGTTAACTCTGCTTGAGTTATGTTTGTAAGTCTGCAGGGCTACAGCCTGAGGCAGGATTGGAAGGGAAGGGAGGGGATGTTTGGTTTTATACTTGCTTTCAAAAAGAATTAGTCTCAGTTACAAATCTGGTTTTTGGAAGAAAAATTTGGAATGAGGCGCAAAGGAGAAAAGGTGAGCAAGGCACAGGTTGTAGGTTTTTTTGGCCAGATAAAGCTGAGCAGCATTCTAGGAGTGTTGCCTTCTGTGTCAACCTAAAGGTACAGTAATCTTGGAGTTTTTCTAGCAAGAAAATCAAATTTTACTTACAAGGTATTTTAAGCTATGGCTTGCCAACATCTACCATATTTTAGGTGTGACATGTTTTAGGAGGACCTTATGAATTAGTTTAAGTGTTATATTTCAATTCTGTAAAACCTCAGTTTTAACAGCTACTCTTTCTTTGGTCATCTTGTTAAATTAGAGATTGAAAGAAGGGAATCAAATCAACTGCTTGTTTTTCCTGGGTCTGCCTCAGTAGCCTCAACTGCTTATAGACATCTGCCAGCAGTATCAATGACTGTTGGCAGTAATTCCAGAATAAAACCTGGGGAAGGGGGTTGGTGATTGAAAGCACCAGAGTTCTGCAGTTGAAGGACAAAACCAATTTATTGAACAGGAGGTGAGGATTGATTACTCCATGGGTTACTCTCTGCTTGAAAGAACTAGAAAATTGTATTTCAATTTCTGAACGGAATGAAAGCTTCAGTTTCTGCATGATGCATTTCAAGTCCTCCATAAGCACAAAATAGGTTTTCTCCTTAGGCTTTTGCAGCCACGTAAGTTCTGGTGTTGTGTACGTGCCTGCTGTCCTGCTCGTGGGCTGTGGCAGTGTAAGAGCAAACTGATGACAGTTTGCAGCGTGGTTCTCCACTCAGTTAACATCTGTTTTGTATTAAATACTTAGCTTTATGTTGTATTCCTCTCCAGCTTTTAGAGCTGTCTCAGCCAGCCAGATGCAGTAAATAGCAGGGCTGGAAAGAGAAGTTTGCCCTTTTCTTTCCGTGCCATGATGAGGCACTTCACCTGTTGCCTTGGATGCTTGGGTTTGTACCGAGAAGCAACACGTCCCTCTGTGTGCAGTGCTGGCTTGACCTCTCTGCCTTCTCTTATTTATCCAGACCATGGAGCTGAAATGGCTACTGTATGTGACCCTGCTGGCTCTTGGGATCCTTGCTGCCCAGGCACATGATGTGGATGAAGACAACGATGCCGATGATGTAGTTGATATCGAGGATGACTTGGACGATGGCATTGAGGAGGTAGAAGAGTCAAAATCTGAAACAAGCAGTCCTCCTCCAGCTCCAAAGGTTTGGCATGAAGCTTTTTTTAAAAATAAAGTTGCTGCTTGTGTTGAGGTTAATGTGAGTCTGATCAGAGTTGTCTTTACTTTGCTAACCCTTAATATGTTGTACTGGTATTAAAGATGTTACCTGGGAGTAGGGCTTGAATTTAAACTTGGGTGCTTTGTTTCTATTCTCATGTCCCTCATATTCTTCCAGAAGACTTAGATCTAACCTTGGAATATGTGATGTGATTATCAGGAGTTAACTCTGATATTCCCAACTAGGTATATACTTGAGTTTTAGTTGCAGGCAAGAGCACTACAGTTTGGCATAAGCAGCAATGTTTATGTAACTTCTGTATTTATGTTGCAAGGACGTCCAGGGGAGCTGTACTTGAATGTAGAAGAGAAACGTGAGCTTTATGTGCCTGTATTTGTGTAGGGAATTTGTCTTGAAAGGTGCATAATAGCCCCTCTTTTCCAACAGGTTACCTACAGGCCCCCCGTCCCAACCGGTGAAGTGTATTTTGCGGAATCGTTTGATAAAGGAACTCTGGATGGGTGAGTATTATCTGAAGGGTGATTTGGTACAGCAAAGAATTTAAAGTCTTGGTGAGAACCAATGAAACCCTCTCTGTAGAGGTGGTGTTATTCAAAACTGAATCAAAGGGCCGTGGTTGGTGAGGATTTACAGCAGTGCCTTCTTGAGGCTGGCTGTTAAAGTGCCCAACTAAACCAGCATTTCCTTAACCTCTAGTAACAAGGGGGAGGTGAGCCATACAAGTGTAATGGTTTAAACCTCATCTGACTTTTTATTTTCCTCAGGTGAATGTGAGGATGGTGAGGTACTACTTTTATTTTTTTGAACAAGAGTGAGACACTCTCTCAGGAGGCCGTGATCCTGCTTTGGGGGGGGGAAGTGGCACATGCAGAAAAGTTTGCAGGCTTGGAAGTAGGGGATTAAGGCACTGGGGTGTAGTCATAGGACAGCAAGGGATGTCTCATGTGAAGGGCAGGATTTTTAGTGTGTATAAGGGAGAAAGGATGATTTTTCAACCATTGGATGTCTGTCTTCTAGATGGATCCTTTCCAGAGCCAAGAAAGATGATACGGATGATGAGATTGCAAAATATGATGGTGAGTTGAATCCAGGTTTTGGATGATAAATGTTTCTGAAGTCATTTGTCGTATCTGAAGAAGAGGTGCAAGGCTTTCTTACCTGTTTCCCAACTAAAATATTCATTGAGGAAAATGGAAGGAGTATTTATATACCTGGCTAACAATATGAAGTTCTAATTTAGAAAAGAAGATCCACTTGAAGATTTTAAAAACCAGTCACATTTGGTTCGTTTCTCCCCAGGTAAATGGGAAGTCCAAGACATGAAGGACACTAAGCTTCCAGGAGACAAAGGGCTTGTACTGGTAACCCGAGCCAAGCATCATGCAATTTCATCCAAACTCTCAAAGCCATTTGTGTTTGATACCAAACCCCTTATTATACAGTAAGTAAAGGATAACTTGGTGTTCTCCTGTTTCCAGAATGACAGGACAGCAGGCTGAGGTTAATTCCATAACTGAGCTCTTGTTGACTGCAGGTCTACGTGACACAAGATGCTGTAGCCTGTTACACTGTTTAAGTAAGAGTAGAATAGTAAAACCCAGATTCCCAGAGGGGAAAGTTGAGAACAGCATGGATCTTTCTGAAGCCTGAAAAAGGAAGAAGTCTGTGTAAACCAGACTTGGTAACCTGCCTTGTGGCTTCAGTTCACTTGATTTAATTGTAGTAACAAGGTCAGGCAACTGACTTTTGTACTGCTAATAATGGAAGTCCTTGTCCTTTTGAACGAATGCTGGTTTGTGTGTAGGTCAGTGCACTTTGTTATGCAATAAACTGCCCCCTGTTTCTGAGGTGGAGTGGACAGAGGAGTGAAGATGCACTTGTTTCCTCCTTCCTCTGTCTTCATTCATTTGCTGGAAAATGAACAACTTGTGTAGCTCTGTTTGGCCACGACTGATGTAGAAGGATCTACTTGGATGTGTGTTAGACCATCAAGTCAGGGGAAAAAGTAATTCAGTGAGAACAACTGAATTGTGGATTATTATCGACTTTATCAGTTTTAAATAAAGAGTAAACTAATTCATATTTGCACAAGATAATGAATTGGTCACTTTGCTTTGCATGACTGTTTAGTTTTGGCTCAAAATACAAGGCTAAAAATAAATCCCAGCGGTCACCCACTCCAGCTGCTGGCATTGAGAGAGGGTCAAGCGTACTTAGCCTATTCCTGACAGAGATGTTTCGCCTTTTTCAGGCTCCTTGGCATCCCTAAATGTTCTGATGTGTGCTTATAACCCTAAAGGACCTCCTAGGACCCAGTTATTTTCCCTTTGGTAGTCTTGCAAATTGAGTTGCCTGTCTGCCATGGTAGTTGTGGGGAAAATAATTGTCTCACCTCAATCTCTGTTGCAGTGTCTGATATATTGGAAAGCTTTTTCTTCCTTCTTTCTGCTTATAGATCATAATCTTCTAGACCAGCACTCAATTTCTTTAATCTTTTCTGTCAGGTCAAGTCTTCTAAATCTTCAGTTTTTATTGTTTCTTGGGCCCTTGTGAATATTTTCTCAGTCCTTAGAGTTTAGTGTGTATTTTTAATATTCACTGGGCAAGTGATTTAAAGAAAACAAAACCAAACCCAGTCTTACTCTTAATACGTACCTAAAAATTGTAATTGTGTATTACAAAAATCATTTTTCCTCATGTTCTCTGCCCTTTCTATCCAAACTAAAATTAGGTATGAGGTAAACTTCCAAAATGGAATAGAGTGTGGTGGGGCCTATGTGAAATTGCTTTCAAAAACCCCGGAGCTGAACCTGGTGAGTAATGTTACTACTTTGAGTATTAGCTGTGAAAGAAAGTTTTTTCATTTTGTTTCTTCCTGAAGAAACCTCTTCAGTGAAGGCAGTGGGGCCTGATTGCCAAAGTACTTTGCACTGAGCATTTTCCCAGTGTTTCCAGTTGAAGAGGATAAATACTGAAATGAAATGGCCCCTTGAGTGGAAACTCTGGAGTTCCCTGGTAGCTGAGCAGTTGCAAACCTTTGCCAAACTCTGCAACGCTTCAGATTTCCCTGGGCTGTAGGACCAGGGAGGAGGTGTTTCAGAAAGTAGGTGTGTATGAGGAGAAATCTCTTCAGGAAGTTCAGCACAGAAGGAAGATTCCATGCTTTATCTTCTAAAACAGACTAAAATTACTAAATAATAAAATTACACCTTGCATTTTTGCCTTACCTTTGACATGGGAACCCACATGAGTTACTGGGTCTGTTTCAGTTTTGAGAAGTTGGACTGGATACCGTCTCACGTGTTCAGCTGCACACATGACCTACATAGAACTATTTAATTCATAAATGACCCTTGAATGAGTTGTCTTAAAATTGTGGTTGATGGAAGAGACCATGATACAATTCCTGAGGCTTTTTCAGGCTCTTGTTTTCTGTCCTCTCAATCATACACTTCCCTTGAAGTGCCTCTTCAGACGAAGCTGAACTGCTGGGTCACCTTGCACAGGTTTTTGTAGCCTTTGGGTTTTCTTGAACCTTCTTCCTAGACTTTATAGGATGTACCTTTTATGGCTTGTTACCCATCCTTCTTCTTTCCTTCTGCAGTCTCACGGGAGTTGTATTATTAATAGAGATTCCAAAGTATTAAAAAATATCCAAAACAAGCATAAACACCGAGAAGATTTCTTGACTGCCCAATCAGTTTCGTATGTGCATTAACTTTTAAGATAACATTAGCAAGAACAAAGAGACTTGCAGTGTTCAAGGGTGAAATGATTATATCCAGTTAGATATCAGATTGAGACAGCTCATACATACAATTTGGCCTCACTTTTAATGCTGTTTATCACTGTGTGTGATAGAAACTGGCTGGACTAGCTACTCATTCTTTATTGCCTGTAACTAATACTTCTATGTTGATAGCTCTTGAAATACTTTATTGTAATGTGGAGATATACTTAAACACTGTGGTTGTCACTGACACTAATCTTTCTGAGAGACTTATATAGCTGGTGTTTTCCATGTGAAAAGTACAGACCAAAGGAGCAAAATGAAGGAGCTGGGATAATTCTGGTGTTTTTTCTAGAGGCTTATGTGAGGAATACAAGCTTTAGTGTGGGGCTTAATATCCAAGTTGCAGAATAATTTCTAATGAACTGGGAGTTCTTATGCCAGGCAATGACTGAAGTTGCATTTCAAAATGATGGAATGAAGTTTTGCGTTGTTTTTAAAGGACCAGTTCCATGACAAAACTCCATATACAATAATGTTTGGCCCTGACAAGTGTGGAGAGGACTATAAATTGCACTTCATCTTCCGGCACAAAAACCCAAAGACTGGCAAATATGAGGAGAAACATGCAAAGCGTCCAGATGCAGACCTGAAGAGTTACTTTACTGATAAGAAGACTCATCTTTATACTCTAGGTATGGTGACTGTTAAATGTGCATGTTAAAAACTGCAACATTTCCTGAATCAAAAGCTCATAAAGTGAACCAGATGAACAACTGAATGTTTGTGGCAATGCACCACACAACTAAAAACCACTTGAAAGCTTCAAATGCAAAAAGTGGACATCTCTACAAAGGCTTTATTTCATTCTTATAGGAAGTCTGGTTTCATGTAAGAAAGGTCATGAGACCTTGAACTTAAAGGAGAACTGAATTTCAGAGCAGTTATCTGAAACAATCATCAGCATTTATGAACTACCTGAATGCTGCCCCCGAGTAACTTGGGGTACAGTGTGCTTTAAATTGAGGCATAGTGTTGCTCTTTTTGCTGCTTTTGTAGTACCGGACAAACTCAGGGGTTCCTGAAATAGTGTCTGCTATGTTAGCCGTGACTAAAATCTTTCAGGGAGTACTTTAGCTTTTCCTGCTGAATAAAGTAGTGAGATTAAAATCTTGTTAGTAGTAGGAAGTCGTAGTGTTGAGTAGAATGTGAATATATACATTGTTACTACTAAAGCAATACTTACTGTGCCAAAGTCAACTTGTGGTAACTGCTAAATCACTCTGCAAACCCCTCTGTGCTTTTAGCATGTTTAAAGTAGGACTCCTGCCATGAGTCTGCTTTCTCACAAGGTGAGATGTGGCACATCACCACTAGTTACACTTTGGCATAAGGAGAAGGGTCCTTAACAGTTCTTTAAAGCAGTTGTTGGGTAGGTGGTAGCTTGGATTGTGCAGTGGGGATGAGTGATGCTTTATGACTCATGCTTTGTATCGTATATGGAATGACTGCAGCAACTTTTTTCCCTTACAGTCTTGAATCCTGATAATAGTTTTGAGATACTGGTTGATCAAACGGTTGTCAACAGTGGGAATTTGCTAAATGATATGTCTCCTCCTGTGAATCCACCTCGAGAGATTGAGGATCCAAATGACCAGAAGCCTGAGGACTGGGATGAGAGACCAAAAATCCCAGACCCAGATGCTGTTAAACCAGATGACTGGTAAGCTGATGGAGGGGTGGAATTGAGGGAGTCCTTAGCCTGATAATTCGGTCCTTTCTCTCAGATGACTTACAGAAGGTTTTGAGTCTTGTCCTTGTAATCAAAATACATTCAGTTTAGATATCTTAGCAGTGCTTTGGTAGACAAAGGCAGACAGGTTCCATATCCTCTGGGAATTTCTATTTAGTGCTCCTGTTACTGTGTTGGCCACAGACAAAAATCTTACAGAAACACCTATGCTAAGCTGTTGCTTTCATCCTTATGAGATCCAAAGATGAGCTGCAGAAGGTGTAACTGAAAGCTGTTTGTAGTTGTTTGTGTAAAACCTTAGTTAAAAGTGACTGAAAAATCCAATTCCATAAATCAGAAACTGATCCTGGCTTTCTCTCTTTGAACCTGTGCTTTGTGAATGATAGACTCAGTTTCAAGCTCAAGTGTGCGTTTGCAGTGACTGCCAAGGTAGGGGATTTGCTGTAATGTGCTCTTTCTAGATTGACTTTTAAAAAATTAGTGTTACCTTGCAGTGGGCACCATGATGTGCCATGAGGCACATGTATAAACAACAGATTGCAAGGCAATTCCTTTCTGAAATCATGGTGTTACCCTGACAGAAGTGAAGATGGCTGGCTGTCTACATCGCAGGGCTTGTTCAGAGTCTGTAGAATCATGCCTTGGGGTTAAGAGCTCCTGTGTGCTGTGTGTGTCAATACATATAACGTTCTGCTCTCCAGGGATGAGGATGCTCCTGCAAAGATCGCAGATGAAAACGCTGTGAAGCCAGAGGGCTGGCTGGATGATGAGCCAGAATATGTAGCAGACCCTGATGCTGAGAAGCCTGAAGATTGGTGAGTTTACTGCCTGATGCAAGTGACAGCAAATGTTTTGTGGCTTTGGTACTGACTTTAACAAGGGTAAGAATAGCTGGTTCATTGTCACTTGCTAGCAAAGTCACCAATACGGGCTATTTTGCTTCAAAAAGAAGGCAGAGTTGGTTTGAGGAGTTTTGTCCTGCGTTCACCTCTGCATTTTTCAGCTCTTCTGTGCTTTGAAGCAGAACAGGGCATGGATGTTCATCTTGCAGTTGTACCTACTTGGAAGGGGCAGTGGGGCAGTCTGTGCTCAGGACTGGCTTTTGTTGAACCTCTGTGCTTCAGTTAGTCTTTGAAATCCTGTTCTTTCTGCAGTATATTTATCTCCAGCCCCATGCTATACGAAGTTTCAGTACCTCCATTTTACATTAGGAGTATTAATTTTCCCAGGAATTGCACATTGCCCAAGTCTAATGCTGTATGAAGGCAAGGGGCGGGACTTCAAAACTGTGTTTCCCTTTTCAGGGATGAAGATATGGATGGGGAATGGGAGGCACCTCAGATTGCAAATCCTAAATGTGAGGCAGCTCCTGGCTGTGGTACCTGGCAGCGCCCAATGATTGACAATCCCAACTACAAAGGCAAATGGAAGCCTCCTATGATCGATAACGTGAACTATCAGGTTGGTGTTTCTGTTGCATAAACTGATGGCCAATGCAGCATTTCTCTTAGGAAAAGCAGGATGCTTTAGATTCAGCAGGTATAATTAAGAATTCAAATGCTGTTATAATTGCACTGTGTTTCAAGTGGACAGATTCAAAATCCTTTCTTACCAGGCTTCACTTCTTTGTATTGATTTCCAAAACCTGCTAAGTTGCACCCATAGACATTGTAATTAAGTGCAAAGGATTGTTATTTCTCTCCGTTCAAAATGGGCTGAGAATTAAAAGTTGTCTTCTGTTAGCTGAGGCAGAATGTCTTTTGTCTTCCTAGGGTATATGGAAACCTAGGAAGATCCCAAACCCAGATTTTTTTGAAGACTTGGAACCTTTCAAGATGACTCCCTTCACTGCCGTGGGACTTGAGTTATGGTCCATGACATCTGACATCTTTTTTGACAACTTTATCATCTGTACTGAAAGAGCTGTGGCTGATGATTGGGCCAATGATGGATGGGGACTGAAAAAGGCAGCTGATGGTGCTGCAGAGGTGAGAGATGAAAGTTTAATTGTGCTGCTGAGGGGAACAGTAGAAGCATTGCTGCTGTTCTCTCCCACAGCCTGTGCCAGTATATACCTGCATGTGCCAAGACTGAGGGTTATGCCAAACCAGCTTGGAGCCTTAATTCCTAATTATAGTATGGTAATGATTGCTATAAGTAACTATGAGTATTCACTGCTCTCCTGAGTTTTTGCTCTGATAATTGGACTGTTTAGCCTAATTCTTAAATTGTAAACCATGAAAAAAGTACTTGTGCAGGTTAGCTTTGAATTTTTTTTTGAGGTACGAAATAAAATGTTTAAAGTTGCGAGAAGTGTATTTGAAAATTCTGAACCTTAAACTTGAATGCTACAGCCTGCTGTGTGGGATGAAATTTGACAGTTCTTTTTGGTCTTACAGCCTGGTGTTGTGGGCCAGATGATGGCAGCTGCTGAAGAGCGTCCCTGGCTTTGGGTGGTCTACATTCTCACTGTGGCTTTGCCAGTGTTCCTTGTTGTCCTTTTCTGCTGTTCTGGGAAGGTAAATCCATTTCTTCTGATAATTAATATCATGTTTATAAAGAGGTTCAGTAAAATGAGCCTGAATGCCACAAATAATTGCCTGGGTTTGACGTTGTCTTTTAGAAACAGCCAAGTGCTGCAGAATACAAAAAGACTGATGCTCCTCAGCCTGATGTGATGGATGATGAGAAAGAGGAAGAAAAAGACAAAGGGGAAAAAGAAGAGGAAGAGGAGGAGGAGGAAGCAAATGAGGAAAAGCTGGGTAGGTAAACTAGATAATCAAAATTCTCCCTGACAGAATAAACCAGTGGGAGTGGCAGACATGGAGTAAAGGCGATGGTGAACTGAAGATATATCAGAAATGAGAATGATTTTTTTTTTTTTTTAATTTTAATTTCCCTTAGAAGAAAAGCAGAAAGGTGATGCTGATCCAGGAAATGCTAGTCAAGAGGAGGAGGAAGAGGAGGAGGAAGATGACAGGAAACATGCATCAGAGGTAAGAGTGCTTGATCTTTGAGGGAAACTTGTGCGTTTTTTTCCTTAGTTTATGTAGAACAGACCTTACTACAGAGGTAAAAGTTAACCAGGCTCATGTGATACTCCCTCCCCCTGTCAGAACTTTAGAAAACTTAACCACCCTGCAGAATAGGAATTGCTGTGGCCAACTTGAGCAGAGCTGGGCACCTTGTTAAAGGCGCTGCCATAGAGCCTGCCTTGCCAGAGGAGTGGGACTGCCTGGAGTGCATCTTCTTGAGGCAAAAGGCTTATTCAGCTTTGTGTGCAGCCAGGATGTGACCTTTTAGTGCTCCACACCGACATAATGGCTGACTTAAAAATGGGTGGAGTGTTGCTTGAAGTTAAAGGATTCTCCCAGCAAACACTGTACATCCACTGTGAAAACAAGGACTTGGCTGTTTGCCACAAAGCAGTTACAGCAGTAGGTCCTTTCAAAAAGTAAATCCTGATGAAGAAGTGAAAGTAGATTATTCTTTGTAGATCTTTACAAAATGGTTATTAAAGATAATCTTAGGTTTTATTCCCTTGATGTTTACACAAATTACTTTCTTACAGGAGGAGGAAACTGTGAATAGATCACCCAGAAACAGAAAGCCAAGGAAAGATTGAAAAAAAGTCATAAGAACTTGATCTGTGATTTTTTTTTGTTTTGGTTTGGTTTTTTGTTTTGAAACATGGTTCTGGGAGAGGACCTTGGACACCTTACATTGAAACTTGGACAAACCTCAAGATTTCACCATCCACAGGTTCCAGTCACACTATCCAATGTAATGGAGTGTCTAGCAGTAAAATATTTGCAATCATCTGTTTTAAAGAGCATCATTCCTGTAGAAAGAATGCATTTAATATAATGGGCTGTGGATTTTGGAATGTAACATAACTAACCTTTTCATTTTTGGTTTTAAATATTCTTTTCTGTTTTTAAGTAGATTGGTAGAATTTTTCCAGTCTCAAACCTTGGCTTAATTTAATATATTAATTAGTGAAATATAACAATGAATCTTGAAAGTGCTAGGTGATAAAAAATGCAGTTTTATAACTAGTTTTTTTTACAAATATGTAAATTCCTAAATGCACCGATGTCTTTATATCCCTTAAAATTTGGTAATTGTTTAAAGAAAACTTATCAATGTCTTTGACAACCCCTCTGCCTTCAAAAGAAAAAACTAGGAGGGGATGTGTGGGGAAACAAGTAGTGAAACTGTAATTAATTAACTTCATTCTTTTGGGGGGAGGGGAAAGAGGAAGAAGGGGTGGAAGGAGGGGGTTAGACAGTCTATAGCATATGACACTGTGCATGGCTAAAGCCCTGCTAAGTGTTGACAAACTATCTGGGATTTGGAGTGGGTCATCTTGATTGTGGCATTTCATCCTGCAGACCTTGCAGATAATCGATTTTTGTTTGTTCTTGAGCTCTTCTCTGTGCAGCCGAGGGGTTGGGGGGGAGGTGTGGTTGGGCTACTTCCCCCTTTCCCCTCTGCTGGGCCACCGATTGTGTCCTCTCTGCGTGACGATGCAGCTCTTGCTGAGAGCGGCTCTGCCTCAGTTGCTGAAGCACTTCATGTTCAGCTCTTTGTCAAGCTCGATTTCATAGCTAGGCCTACTCCTTTCCAGGGTCCAAACACTGAATTAGACAGTGTCCCATTATCCTCTCACTGTTGTCACTGTATGTCTGCTGTAGAAACGGGGGAGGTAGGGCAGGTACATGAGTTGAACTGAGTATTTGTTAAGGGGGAATAAAAAAAAAAAGAAAAAAAAAAAACCACACAACCAAGATGTCAGTATTTGTAGGTGGGGAAGGAGCATGTGGAATATCTTAACTGGTATGTGAAACTGTTTAAGTCCTTTATCTGCTCTTCATGTAACAAGTGCATTCTAAATTATATTGTGAATGTTAGGGAGTTCCAATTCCAGCTGAATAAATTTTTTTAAAGCGTTGAGTCTACCACATTATACTGTTTCAAACACTTTTTTTTTTTTTGTGGAATGCAGGTGAGCACTACAAGAGCATTACCTCTGAAGGTGAAATGGATGTAATTCATTACACTGTACCAAATATGTTGGCGTTTGGATGTCTATATAGATGAACTTTTGCTTTTGTTTAGAATGAAATTAAATGTCCTAAAATTACTCTTCTTGCACTGAATTTAAACACTCCAGTGTTGTTTGGTCATAGGATAGGTGTAGTGTAGGGAATAATTCCCAGGGGTTGGGGAGGGAAGAGTGTTCCAATTACCTTGCAAACAATCTAACCAATTACTAAAAAACTCTTGTTTTGGGTGTTTTTTTTTTTGTTGTTTTTTTTTTTTTTTTTTTTTTTTTTTTTTTTTTTTTTTTTTTTTTTTTTTTTTTTTTTTTTTTTTTTTTTTTTTTTTTTTTTTTTTTTTTGTTAAAACACCTCTTGCTGCCTGTCCTTATGTTGTATCCCTTGGTTGTTGTGTTTGAAATACTAGTGATCACAAATGCATAGCAGGATTTCTTGATCTTTCTGCAGTGTGCAAATAAACTATTGCAAGCAAGATACTGGAAGTAATTTCAGACTTCTGTTGGGAGCTGCTGCATGTTTAGAATGCCTTTGCCTGTTGAACACACCTGGTAAATACTGCTCCTTATTGCAAATATAGCTTATACTCTGACATGGAAGATGTCATAACTTAAGCGTTGCTACTGGCTTGTTCTCAGGACTGTATTTTTATCAAGGAGCAGCTGCTATTTATGACTCTCAGTCCTTTGAGATGAAGTATGTGTAAATGGTTTCAATTCAGCTAACATTTTGAGCACAACATAATAATCTATTAATCTAATGGGTTTTTTATCTTAATATGCAAATTGCCTTAAACTCCCAAACAATCCATGTGCATACATGTTCTTTCAAAGCATCGAAAGTGAACTTGAGATCTGCTATCAGCTTTTAAATAGTATTATATTAAAGCTAATTGTAAATCTACATTTGCCTCTGCTAAATCTCCTGAAAAAGTCTCCTGTCTGCATGTTATGGCTTTTTTTGATACCTTAGTGTATGCTTTAAATAATCACTACAATAAATGAAGACTTTCCAAAATGGATAGACAACTCAAGTTACTTTTTATCCTGCTCTCTGGCTTTGGGTGCCTCAGTTTGACCTCAGCATTGCTCTTGTTTTTAAAGTCTTGGAGGAAAAAAAATAATTATCTGCTTATCCTGCGTGCTTTTAAAGCATAGCTGTGTGTTCTACAGTAGTGAAGCTCCACCTTGAAGTGGGTTTGGAAGAGTTACAAATACTTGAAGGTGTATTTGGACCTTTTGTGTCTGTGCACCCAAGGGTGGCAGCTCTTGAAAAGGATGCTGAGCTTGATGTGCTGAGGATGAGGATGAGGGGGGTGTGTTAGACAGAGGTGGCGAATAAAAACAAAACCCATGGGCTCTGAAGAACATGAGGCAGCAGAAGTGCTGGGAACAGTTTTCCTCCTGGAGCTGATGCTTGGTCAGGGAGTTGATAATAAGGATGCAAGCTAACCAACTAACCCCAAAGTGTTGCTGGGTGTGATCTCACCTTGCTGGGGCTGGGGAACAGTGAATGGTCAGTGCATTTTGAAGGTCTAAGATTGACTCCAGGGCCTGACGAGGACTTCTTGCTAGTGCTGAATGCTTGTAGTTGTACGTTTCTGTGGTTGTCTCTCCTTCCTTACTCCTTCCTCACAAGCTCAGCTCCTCCTGTGAGGCTGTGGGTACATCCCTGGGTCTGGTGCCCACTCTCCCCCTCCCAAACTGGTGGTAATGGCCACTTCTTGCCTCGTGGTTTCAAAATGGGTTTCTTTTGGTTCACTTTTTTTTTTTTTTTTTTGGTGTTGCTGAACAAGGACTGTGATTCCATGTCCCTTTCAAACAGGTACTTGTAGATGCGACTTGGAAAAAAAAAATGTAAAAACTAATCAATAAAGAAACTTAAATCCGTTTGGCTTTCTTTGTCTAATTAGCAAAGGTGCATCGGGTGAGGGTGAGGTGAGCGGTGACTCTGCTGCTCCAGCGACGGGCAGGCTCGCGGTTTGACCCGAACGCGGAGGTTGTGCAGGGCACAACCTGTTTGGAGAGGGCTTTTCCCGGGATATCGGGACCTGATCCCGCCGGGACGGGACAGGACGGGAGGAGCTCCGCTCCACGCCCGCCCCTCCCTGTCAATCACAGCTGGCTCCGCCTCCCACCGCTTCTGATTGGCTGCACCGCGGGCGCTCCGCCCCTTCCCTACCTGTGCCTTTTAAAGGCCCCGGGTCCCGCCTCCCGCTCGCCCCCGCCCCCTCACTCCCGTCCCCGCGCCTTTCTACTGGCCGGCAGGGCTGTCAATCACGGCTCGTGACGCGCCTCGCGCCGTGACGTACCCATACACCCAGGAAGCTCCGCCCCCTTATTCTCAACTCGGCTCTGGAGGGGAAAAACAGTTCCAAGATGGCGGCGGCGCGGACAACAATGGGGGGCCGGGGGGCCGGGCCGGCCCGCGCCCCCTGAGCCGGGCCGGGCCCCGCGGGGCGAGCAGGGCTGGGCGAGAGCGGCGCGGCGGGGCCGGGCGCGGCAGAGGAGGAGGAAGTGGGGCGGGGGGGAGCGGGGCAGGCGCCGGGCCGGGGCGGCGGGGGGAGTAGGAGGAGCCGGGGCGATCCCGGCGGGGAGCGCAGGTAAGGCCAGCGGGGGCCCCGCCATGGCGGGCGCCGCTGCGAGCAGCCGGTGAGCGGCAGCAGCAGCAGCAGCCGCGGCGGCGGCCGCCCCCTCGCCTCCCGGCCCATGGTGCTGCCCCCCTGCCCCATGGCGGAGTTCGTGGTGCCGCGGCACAGCGCGGTCATGGAGCGGCTCCGCCGGCGCATCGAGCTCTGCCGGCGGCACCACAGCGCCTGCGAGTCCCGCTACCAGGCCGTGTCCCCGGAGCGCCTGGAGCTGGAGCGCCAGCAAACCTTCGCCCTGCACCAGCGCTGCCTGCAGGCCAAGGCCAAGCGGGCCGGCAAGCACCGCCAGCCGCCCCCGGCGCCGCCGCCGCCCGCGCCCCCTCCGCCCGCCGCGGCCGCCGCGGGCAGCGCCGACAGGAGCGGAGCCAACGGGCTGGACGGAGAGGCCGCCGGCGCCGAGCAGCACGGCCGCAGCAGCGCCCTGATCGCGGTAAGGCCCGCGGGGCTGCGGCTGGGGACGGGCAGGGACCGGCGGCCGTGCCCGGCCGGCACCGGGAGCGCTCCTCCGGAGCGGGATGGAGGAAGGGAAACAAGCTGCGGTGGGAGGGCTGGGGTTGGTGCTGCTTCGCTGCGCTCTGCCGTGTTACAACTTCGCAGCTGATAAGGGGTGTTTTGTTTTCACTCATCGCCTTTGCGCGCTGGAAGTGTGCATAAAAGCCGCTTGCCTGGTGGGGTAGGGGTAGTGGCAGATTTTATTTGATGGTTGCAGTCGTTCAGAGTAGTTTGTGAGTTACGTTTCTGGCTAATTCGCCTAAAATGTTCCTGCAGAAACTGTCAGAGGGGCATTAATACTGCTTTTGGATTTTTTGTTTGCCTGTTTCTGTCTTTGAGTTTGTCAGGGTTTAGTGGAATCGTTTGATCAGGATGTGATTGTTACTCAGGGGGAAGTTTTAAGGCAAATAATGTGTCTGTTAATTCTGGTACAGATTGGAAAGAATTTCAGTGGAAAAGCAGCTGCTTGTTTGCCACTCACTCTAGTGGGTGTGAACACTATGGGAATCCCAGTCCACCCATTAAAAACTGGCTTAGCTCAAAATCTTAATGTTTCTCTGGCCTCTCTAGCATTTCTGGTTGTCAGGACATATTCACACAGCCCAGTTTGTATATCAAGATAGCTATTGCTTAACTTATTCTGGGCCCTTTAAATATACTACTGTGTGCTAATGTGTCAGTAATGTAGGTTAGTAGGATAACCTCTTAAAGGTTGCCTGTCTTAATACCTGCCTACCTTAAAACCAGGCATTTTTAAGTGATAGCCTGCATGAAAATGATTCAGTACTATCCTGACTGTCTTTAAAAGAGAATACTTGATTAATCTGAGACATTTCCAGGTTATTATATAGAATAAACCATGTTTTTATTGTGGTATGTGTGTTTAATTGGATTAGAAGAGAAGGAGGATGCAATTTCCCGCTGTCTTGGACCTCATTTACAGTTTTTAACATAGTATCATGATGGAGTTTACTGTATATTTGTGTATCCTGGACGTGATGTGAAATATTGAAACACGGGGGTGTATCGATGTCATCTTTAATGCAGCCAGCACTGGGCAGCACCAGTGCAGTTTGCAGTATTTACAGGATGAGCTGAAAGTGCTACTTAGCTGAATCATTTCTGTTCTGGCTGATACACCTCTGAGGCTCGAGGACTTGCTGACTGTTGTTAAGAGTGAGGGCCTTGTGACACGGTTAGAGCACTTCGAGGGGCTGTTAAGAAGGGTGCTTGAGGCAGAGAAGAAACCCTGTGCATTCCTGACACTGATTCTGTAAAACTTTCCTGTTAGCCGTTATGTGACAGACTGATCTTGAACATAAACCCGCATCAGAACAAAAATGACTCAAACTTGTATTTTATTATCTAAAGACTTGGAAGTTCTGTTTATTTCCTGCTGAGCTCTAAGGCTTTTTGCATATGGGGCTTTACCCATTAATAATGTGTATTTTTGTTACACACAGGGCTCTTTTAGCATGTCAAATCCTGTCGCTTAAACTGCCACCACACGTCTTCATATTGACCTTCTAAAGAAAGATGTCTCTAATTC